GGAGAAATGGGGGTGAAAATTTATTTGGGAGTATCCATGTTTTTGGTTCTCATTTAATTTAAAAACATGAAAATTGGAATTGCAGTTACTGAGTACAAATTAATAATAATGTGTTTTAGGGTTTTTATGTTTTTACATCTTGAGGGGGCAAAAGTTTGTATGGGAGTATAATTTTTTTTATTGTCTATGAAGTCAGAAACATGAAAATTGGAATTGCAGCTAATGAGTACAAATTAATAATGACGTGTTTTAGGGTTTTTGGATTTTCAATTTTTAAGGGAACGGGGGGTAAAAGTTTATTTGGAAATATCGATTTTTTTTAAAGGTAGGAACTTGAAAATTGGAATTGTATGTTCTCATCATAGATAAATAATTAAGTGTTTCATGGTTTTTGGATTTTCACATTTTCAGGGGGGAAAATGGGGGTGAAAATGAATAAAAATGAATAAAAATTGATAAATTTTTTTTTAAAAATGAATAAAAATGAACAAAAATGAATAAAAATGAATAAAAATTAAAAAAAAAAAAAAAATAAATATAAAAAAATGAATGAAAATCAATAAAATCATGTATTTTTTTATAATAATAACACGACATATATGCGAGCAAAGTCGCGGGCAATAGCTAGTAATGAAATAATTGTAATTAAATGTCCATATTCTTGTTCCAAATTGACATCAAAAATGGGAATTCAAGAAAAAAAAATTAAATATCTAGCCAATAAGATGGCAAAACTTAATTAAAAAAAAAAAAAATTATTATTATCATCAGGTAGGTACAGGCACAATTGGCTATAACGAAGCCAAATATTGTTATTTATTTAGAGATGACAATTTTTTGTTATGCGCTGAACCAAAGTTAGTTGATTCCCACTCGATAATAAAATTCTGTTTTTATTCTAGTAGTGCTGTTCCTAAAGTAGCGCCGAGAAACAGTAACAAAACCTACACTTCTCCGTAATATCTACTAAAATATTCTTAAGACGTTGATGATATCTACATATTTAACACATGCCCCCTAATAGGAATATGACAAGTCATCATTGTTGATTTATTTACTGTCAAGAAGTTGCAACTATCTTGATTTTTCGTTATTGATAAGTGGTGTATTTGTCTATCATAACAAAATGCCTCATTATTTACGTCTATGGTTTGTTGCGATGGCAATGGACGAGACGCAAAATAGTCCAATCAAATAGACATTTGAATCACAATTTTGGAGGAAATTTTTGATATGTCACTTGAGTATTTGAAAACGATATGTAAAAAAATTTGTTTTTCAGGCTCCGGCAAATGGCGAAAAACAAGAAAATTGTTTTTTTAAGGTTATTTTAAACGGTAGGTGCTATAATAAAAGTTCTTAATAAAAATTGTAAAGCATAAAGCTTTACATAAAAATGATATTTAGCATTTTTTGCAATTATTAAAACTAACAGAGTTAGGGTGTTTAGAAGTTAAGCAAATGTTCAATACATCATACTTTAGATGGTAAAATAAATTTTGAAGTGAACTTATTATGGCTTGCCTGACATAAAAAATATGAGTAACAAACTAATAAAAATGACATTGCGATAGTTTAGTCCCCACCTGAAGCTCCATTAAATACATAAAAATTAATTAAAAAATAAAATTACACAAAAATAAATTAAAATTATTTAAATTAAAATAAATAAAAAAATTATACTAATTACTAAGTAAAAATAAATTAATATAAAAATAAATAAAATTAATTAAAAATGAGTAAAAGTAAATAAAAATTAATTAAAAACGAGAAAATATTAAAAAAATAAATAAATTAAAAAAAAATAAATAAAATTAATTAAAAATGAGTATAAGTAAATAGAAATAAATAAAAAATTATTTAAAAATAAAAAATAAATAAAAAAGAAAAATAAATACAAAAAAATAAATTAATTAAAAAAACAAAAATAAAAAATTTAAAAATAAATAAAAATGAATAAAAATAAATAAAATACACGAAATTTTCCCGAAAAAAATGAAGTCCAGGAAGAAATTCGTGGACGTTGTGAAGTAGGGAGATTAGGGGGCGTTTTTAAAAAACAAAAAAAATTATTTTTAATAAACCGTCGAAAAACGATAACGAAATTTTCGAAACGTCATAAAAAGTGACAGTTGACAGGCGAAAATCTTCTATAGTCACCTCACATGTCTAGAGCGTCGACCAATAACACAAACTCCCTTTCACCGTGCACCCAATTCGTGGAAAAGGGAGCAAGCGGATTTTTGCACGATTTGAGGCGCTTGCCTTGGAAATCGCCAAACGGTTTACAACTCCTGGCCATGTTTCATTGAAATCGATTCATCCGTTCAGACGGTACGATTTTTTTTTGTGATTTTGGAAACCTCATTTACTTAATAAAAGTAAATATTTGTCGAAATTTTTAAATATCTTTATTTATTTTTAATTAATTTTATTTATTTTTACTTACATTTTTTTTATTTTCATTTTTTTAATTTCCATTAATATTTATTTATTCCAATTTTCTTTTACTCATTTTTAATTAGTTTTATTTATTATACAATTTATTTTTACTTACATTTTATTTTAATATAATTTATTTTCTTTTACTTTTATCTTTTTAATTTTATTTATTTTTGTGTAATTTTATTTATATATTTATTTTAATTATTTTTTTATCTTTATTTATTTTTATTATTTTTAATCATTTTTATTTAGTTTTATTTTTTATTAATTTATTATTTATTTAATGGAATTTCAAGTGGGGACTAAACTGTCGTAATGTCATTTTTATTAGTTTGTTACTCATATTTTTCATCAGGCAAGTTATAATAAGATCACTTCAAAATGTATTTTACATAAAGTCTTATAATGTATTGAAAATTTGTAAATTTAAATTGTCACTTAAAAAAAAAAAATGAAAAAAAATTATTTTTCTAGAAAGAAAGTTCATATTTTTCTAAGTAAATAATAAAAAGAGAATAAAAATCATTGAATTTTCATATTTATTTTCTCTTACCTTCTAAACACCCTAACTCTGTTAGTTTTAATAATTGCAAAAAATGCTAAATATCATTTTTATATAAAACTTTATGCTTTACAATTTTTATTAAGAACTTTTTTTATAGCACCTATCGTTTTTAAATAACCTTTAAAAAACACTTTGTTTGCTTGTTTCTCGCCATTTGCCGGGGCCTGAAAAACGAATTTTTTTTCATATCGTTTTCAAACATTCTAAAGTGACTTATTATCAAAAATTTCTATATTTCCTCCAAAATTTTGATGGAAAGGTCTATTTGATTGGACTATTTTTTAAAATTAATACATTGTATTACATTTTTTTTTTTTTTTTTTTTTTAATTTCATATCTGGTTTTATATTATTATTTTGAAATTTAATTAATGATAAAATCAGTTAAAATCTAATTTTCTTTATTATTTTATTAAAATCTTTATGCTTCTTTTTATATTGTACTTTTAGGTTAAATATAAGAGTAGCTTGTAGTTAAACACCTCTTTGTACAATTTATTAATAAAGACGCTTTATTATTATTATTATCATTATTAATCTAATGCTTGAAACTTTGAATAAGTCTTTTATCAAGGAATATATTAATTTTTATTTATAAAATCAAACATTTGGTACTTCCAATGTACCTAAAAAAAGAGCTTAATTATCACTTTGATGTGCACAGTTATCCAAAGTGGAACAGAAATAACTTTTATATTGAAACTGTTGTTAAAAATGCAACACAAAATTCACTATTTCTTAAAGGTCTAGACCTTTATAACACACTCCCAGAGAAAATAAATCTGTAAATTCTGTAACTATAAAATTCCAGATAAAAGATTATTTAATAAATATTTCTGCAGAAATAGTAGCAGGGTTAGTTAGTTTTAATGTTTTTGTATATTTTTTCATTTTTTGTTTGTTTACAGAATAATTTTCAATATAATAAAACTCTATTTTTCAAGTTTTTCTTGTATTTTTAACAGACTTCAAAAAAGGAGATTCTCAATTCGTCAGTATTCTTTAACATGGTATTGGATTTTAATTATTTTTTTTTGTTAGTAAGGGGGCACTTCAGGGTTGGTCCCATATAAATTTGGTCTAAATCTAATAATTGGATCCATAAAAAATCCTCAAACTCTTTAATTTTTTATGTATGTTTAGCGATAATTCTTTACCACCTTTTCTGACTTCTATAATTCTTTTTTTGTTAGTAAGGGAGAACCACAGGGGTGGTCTCATATAAATTTGGTTAAGATGTGGTGATGTCATCTGCATGATTTTGAAAAATTACTTTTAATACTTGTTTGTTTAACTTTATTAATAACAACTTTTGATACATATGAACTAAAAACCTTAAAAATCTATAAAACCTCGAAAAAACCTACTTATAGTTTTTAATTCTTAGTTTTTTTTCCAACACTGATCTCTTGAAACAAAATAAAAATTACATACATAGTAAAATACATCACAATTCAAAAAATGCCTAATTTAAGATATAAGTTACTAGCCCAGAGTTTTTTAGTTAGGTGGTGCAATAGTGACAAATCTACAGAGTGTACAGTGAAATAGGCCACATGTAAATACAATTATCGCTTGTTTCAGTTGCTGCATCTTTATTACACGAATTGCATTTACAGGATTGCCAAAAGGTTAATGCATTATATATTTTGCATAGTCCTAATCAAGAACCAGACTTCTATAACTACTAGCAACACTACAGCATCATACTATTTAAAAAAATAATAAATCTGTGCGTAAATTAGACATTAATCTAGATAATTTATACGAATCCCTTATTTTTTACAAGAATGTCATAAAACAACATTGTTTTTACAAGAAACTAATAAAATATGTAACCTAGTTGAGGAACGTATTATAGCAAAACTATAGTCACAAAATGAAATAAAACAGAGGGGTAAAATAACTGAAAAATGAAAACAATTCCTGTATTGACCCTTTCGACGATTTATAATCATTCTGTAAAAGTTTTAGCAATAAATTTCACTTACCGTCCTCTATTGAAACTTTTACACCACTCGGGGTCGATTTCTTTATACAAATGGATCGTTACTTCATAATTTTTCTTCTCTACACCCCCCATTCCTTTGAAATATACTGAATCTTTATTAAATCTACAAAAAGAACAAATATAAATATATCTAATTTTTACAGCATTATTTTTTTACTTACTTAATTTCAGGATCTTTAACGTCTTCTAAATTTATTGTTAAAAAGATTCTTGAAGATCTTTGGGCCCACATAACGGGAGGTGGTAATCTGAAAAAGTGAGGTTAACCTCATGTTACAAACAAAATTTGTACCCTTGCTTTTAAATTCAAATTTCACCCTATTTGGATTTAATTACTTTTAAAAATATATACAACAAATGTATGTATAGTATAAAAAATTATAAAGGAATATTCTAGAATCGATTACAAGTTTCCCAAGCAACATGGCCGGCCGTGAAGTAACCAATTTAACTGCAAATCAACAACTTTCGGTTTCTACATAAAAATTACAATAACTAACAGAAACTACGAATCACAATGAAAAAACTTAGTTGTACTTACGGTTGTTCAGTCATTTTGTATTTATTTTATTAAACAGGGTATTTGGAAGTTCTTACTTCGCAACACTTCAATCACCGGGTAGAGGAATAAGATTAGTTGTTTTTTCTTGACAAGTTTGCAAGCCTGATCGATACGTCGAATAGCCCTAAATATTTTCAAAATGTTGCGCTAAAATAATGGTACACAATTATTTTGATAGTTAAAAATATTGAAAGGTCTTTCGAAGGACGTCAAAACTGCGCTTGTTTGGATGATTCACTGAACTCCTTGATTGATTTCTGGATATTTAGGGACAATAATTTTATTGTTAGCGTTGAAAAATAACAAGCAGGGAAAGCATTGGTGTATTTAGTGTTGCCGTTTCTAGGAAACGTTGACTAAGTTTGTCTTTTAACGGATAGATGTCGCTGGCATGTTAGTAATTTTGTATTTTTAATTTAATTGCCTATAGATGGCAAATTGTAATGGAAATCCATTTTTTTGATGATATAAATAAATAATTATTTATTTTTTAACAAATCATGCATAGTTTAACTACGAATGGGCGTTGCGCCATTGCAGTTTAAACACAGAATGCCTACTGTTAATAGGTATTCTGTGGTTTGACTGAATTCCAAACAAAATGGTGTCGTGGAAAGGGTTGGTATATCTAATGGGTTGCGACATACGATGTATTCTATCTACAACACGTGAAATTATGAATAATGGATTAAATTTAAATACTTTTTGTCAAACACAATGAAAATATTAAAAAAACGGCTTAATACATTTTTCATAAATTGGCAGGCTATTTCGAATAAAAATAGCGTCCAAGATGGAAGGGTATGGCCGTGTTCATCGTCGTCAAACATGTTTTAAAAGCAAAGAAACATGTTTCATAAGCGGTTGGAATGACGCTGAACGATCATTTTTGTTTACGATTTGTTTTCTCAACCTCAAATCTGTCAAAAAATGGAATGACATTTGGTTGGCACAAAGAAGGTTATGTGAATTGTTTACTTTAGTATTTTTTAAAAAAAATTGAGTTGAATTGATTTGTACAGTGAATTAGAGTTTATATAAGTACCCTTCTGAAAGTGGTTTTGACAATTTTACGGCGAAAAACCTACAACTTGTATTATTTTGGGTTGTAAAGTCAAGATGTTTTTATTGCCTCTATGGATCTTGAATTCTACATACTTAGACTAATCAAAGAAATTGTAATAGTCATTTTATTAAAGGTAAAATACATTTTTTTGACACACAAATAAAAACATACTGTAACTAGATCATACTTTGAAGAGCAGAATGAGAATGCTATTTATTGTGTTTAATCAACTGTCTGGTCTGCACCAATAAATTAAAGGAACTCATGATACTAATAACATACATATCAAAAAGTGATCTTTTTACATATATCAAGGATACATAAAAGTGTTTAATAATAGAGACATCAAGTATGACTTTCTTATTTTTAGGGAAACAGACTTCCTTCAAAGTTAGTAATCATTTAAACTGGACTCCAGCCCAGAACTTGAGGCATGTGTCTCAAACCAGTTCAAAACTAACTGATTCGAAAAAGGAGGAAGAGATAAAAACGAAAATCAACCTGAAGTAAACTTTTATTTTTGAGTCATACCTAACATCATAAGTCCCGCTTTAGGCAAGACAAACCCACTTTCAAGTTATGTGTTCCATTGTCCCCAAAGAATGCAAGAATGTCCCGCTTTAAAAGAAAAAGTGATCTGATTCAAAACATTTTTCAAAAAAGAGTGGTATCTCATATAAATATGTGCTAGTGAAAAAAACTTACTTAATTTGAAGTATCAGTATTGAAAGCCAAGCATAACATAAACAAGTCACGTCAACAGTTCCATTCCCATTTAAAAACTAAAATATAGAAAATTAGCCCACTAAACAAGTTTTATTTCGCTTTTCTAATTTCTAATAAATAAACAAAATTATGTTATTTCACTTATTTTGAATACATTTTTTTATTATATTATTGTTTTACTTTTACTACAATCTTACTGTTGTTATTCTACATTAAAAATAATGAAAAATTGCTGTTGTCTTTTAAAATTTACAGGCTTCTTGCTGTGAGGTAAGAAATGATAACGTTTTATTACAAAAACCGAAAATTGTTAAAATAATCCCTATCTAATGCTTTACTTATTTTTTTACAAAGTATTTTTGATTTAGGTACTTAGGTGTTATACATTTTTGGTCATTGCTAATATTCATATTGAGTCTGAATTATTTTTATGTATTAATAAAATTTGTCTAGTATTATAGAGTTATACATACCTTATCGACAAACTATATACATTAATTCTTTTATAGGAATGATATATTTTGTATTGGAAATTAATAAATATACAAACTTAATGTTGTCATATAGGTAGAGCGACTTATTAGCAAAAATTATTTGAAATGTATACAGTAATGAGGTATTTTTTTAAAGGTTCAACAAACCAAGGTGGGCCCTTTTTAATATAATTGCTTATATTTAATTTATTTTGTAAATAAAATGTCATACTTTTATTATTATTTATTTTTTAATGCCCTTTTGGCCCTATATACATTACATGAAAACAAAAACATCGGTGCAGTTTTAATAACAAAACTCGTCTGTTTTGAATAACTGTGCTAAAACTATATAATATGTAGGTATGTTATATTATCCATATTCCTTACTGGTGGAATCCCATTAACGTCCAAATGAAATAATTTAAGCATACGTGTATGTATCTACGTCTGGAATTAATTTTATTTTCTTCAAATAGGTATCTCCATAAATACAATATTATATTAAAATACAACTTAACTAATCAACTCTATTAGGGTATAAAACCTTAAAAATATAAATAAACAAACACATAACCTAACAAAATGCCAAAAGACGGATTTGACAGGGGTCCAAGGTCAATTTTATGCTTTTAAAGCAAACAAGCGAGTTTATTTTCGCTTTTATGCTTCTTCAAAAGCGCTGCAGCCACAAAGCATGGGCTCTATCAAGCTAGCGGGCACTCTGTGGCGGCACCATACAAGACCTGGTGGGTTTTTTGTAGCTTTTTTGTTACGCTATTTGCGAATTTGTAGCTTTGACCAGGTCCGAAAAAACAGCGGATCCGCTAGCTTGAATTTCCATAAATTCCATAGTAGCGGCACAGATTCAGACCCAGCTGGTTTTTCGTAACTTTTTTGTAGCTTTTTTGTTACGCTAGTCTCCCTTTTGTAGCTTGTACTGAACCTGAGAAAAGCGCGGATCCGCTAGCTTAGCGGATATTTTTAGCGGCACCAGCTCGGACCAGGCTCATTTTTTGTAACTTTTTTGTAGCTTTTTTGTTACGCCTGTCTCCATTTCGTTGCGAGGCCTGAACGTGAGTAATAATCGTTTCTCCATGAGCGTGAGAGAAAAGTGCGTTAATTAAAATCAAGTTTCAGCCTCTAGAAGTATTATGTGCAACTCAATAGTGTGACTATCTGTTGATAGATGGCACCAGTATTGCATTTCACGAATTATGGCCATCTTCCATCCAATATATTTTTGAGAAATTTAGATATAATCCAAAGAAGTAGATTGATATAATCTCAAAATCGGACATTTGTTTTTAAATGTTTTTTAGTGTTGTTTATGTATTTATACTTTTGTTGAATCAAGAATATTCTTAAATCTTTTTTGAATGATTTCCTTAACCAATCGTTTTGCAGTATTTATGGACCAGTGTTTAATTCTGTCGGATCACAACTATACAGTGTGTTCCATCTCAGACGAGCCACCCCGTATATTTCTTATCCCATAGTAATTGGAAAAATTTCCCGAAACACGTCGGATGATTTTCTTTGGGGGACATCTTTTGACGTATATTTGAGGCTTGAACCAGCAACCCCCTATTTTCAATTAAAAAAAAAAAAATTACTTAACACTTAATTTGATAATAAACTCAAAATATTTCAAAATAAAATAGCTATCCAATAATAATGTTTATTTGTCAATTATATATAAACATTTAAATAATATAACTATAGGGACTGCATCATCTCACTGTGTTCTGTATACCTCTACATCACGAAGATTAAAAACCTTTTTAGAAACATAAAAAAAACCATTCATATATGGATCATTAGATTATATTTAATTCATACAAAAATAAGAAAATACCTACATAAATGTACAAAAGTAGAGAGTATTTGAAAATAAATACATAATAAATAAATAAATAAGCGATGACAAAATAACAAACACACAAGAGGACTTAGCTGAAAGTTTTAACTAATTACTGTTAAAATAATTTAGCTTTTTAAAGGGAGTTTATATCATGAGACACTTTCTACTTGTTATAACACAAAAATTAATAGAATTCGCAGCTCTTGTATGGTACTGATGTATGTAAGAAATAGAAGTTGACAATTCAATACATTAATTACTATTTAAATAATAAAGGTCATTGCCTGCACATAGAAACTGTCCCATATTCAACCAGTTCAACGTAGTCAACATAAGCTGAATGCTATATCTGCTACATCCTAAAATAGCTCTCGTTGCCTTATTCTGAGAAAGCTCTCAAAAGTAGAGTTAGAACATCCTGCGTGTATATTATATATTTGGCATAGCTTGTATCCTAAAGATATAACTTGAGCATAGTTTAAACCATAGTGATTTGTAGATACTCAACCAAAAGTTCTTCTTTACTACCATATTTGGATTTTTTTACATTCGATTTCCTTTCCTGCATTTTCACAATTTCTTTGCTTGAACTTCTAGAGGGTATAAATAAAAGTGTCCTTTTTATATAAATTGTTGCAATTTGCCTGCAAGAGTATATACTTATTCCTCTGGTAATATCTTTTAGAACTTCTATTTTCTTACATTTCTTTGTTATTACTTTATAGTTTCGTATCATATTTACAGCTGAAAAAATGCAAAATATAGGTAATATTAGATTGTTTAGCCTCAAATATTTTTATTATATTACAAAAATAAAATGGCGAAAAATATCATAATATTAAGGTAAAATCATATGCACAGCTTTAGAAATAATTTAAAACCACTCACCTCCATGGAGGAAGGATAATTACTCACCTCTATTTCAAAATGTACTCAAAATTACAACTTTACTTTAAAGAAGTTTCTTGTATATTATTTAAAATAAATAAACGTTTCTTCTAGTACATTTGTTACCTTCACTTGAAATCTCAAAATATCAAGAGGTAGGCTACCAGTTTAACATTTTGGATAAATATGTGTTGCCTAACATAGTAGTAAAAGAGTCAAAATGGCCGCGCCCTA